CGCATATCTGGTCGCCTTCATGACATTCGTTATATTTGTCATACTGCTGGATGAATTGCGAATAGGTCGTCATCCTTCACCAAGAAACGTCAGTTTAAGTTGTGTCGAGTTTGATTGATAAGCTTATTTCCAGTTCAGAGTACTAAATTTGACCTTGAGGACACAGGTAACCTTCGGGGCTTCCATGGTAGTGTTTATAACAGCTGTCTAATGTCAGGTGGCATGCTTTGGCCCTGAACACAACAGACACTGCAATCAATAGGTCATATGTAGAACTGTCCATTTTAACAATGGCTGTGCAACTAACGGTGATTCTTTCTCATGGTGCCGATTCCGTAGCAGTTATGAACATTTGCAGTGAAGTTTCGCCGTTGATATGCCAGCGACCACACTCAGGCGGATCAGAGAAAAACGTAGATGAGAAGGCTTGGTCAAGCAAACTCGTTTATTCTGAAATGGTAGAGCGCTGTCGTCGTAGGATGCCACAGTTCCAGAGATTCAGCAGTTTTAATTCGATCACCTCTGGCAGATGACGATATTCTATCGTCCTGTAAGACTTGCCATCGTTTAATGCCTTATGCAAGGAGTTGACCCAGCGATGCAACGCCCTTCTTAACGTTCAGTTGTTGTTGTTTACCATCGTCGAAGATCATTTACTCGGTATTCTATTTACTGATCTGTTCTGTTCTACTCATAAACTCTCCGTCTTCAGCTGGCGCAACAATTGCATTGCTTTACTATTTGCTAATGACATCGCCGTTTTTGACGTGATGAATTGAAAAATTTCGAACTGACTAGATTTTACGGTGTTAAATCTTACAGTAGTACTGCTGAGTGATTGCTGTTAATTAGTAATGCCTGTGTAAGAGGCATTGTTTGTACTCTTAGGTGATAGACTGCGTAAAATGGAAGCTTGCTGTACAGTACTGCTTAGCTGATCTTATGCCATGCTAACTGACAGAAAAAGATGAAGGCGCTGCGATCTAATGAAATCTTGCCGCGATTGTTCCTTATTAACACCTTTGCTCATTATCTGTACTACGTACGGTGTGCTGTGCTGTAGTATCGTTTACTGCAATGTACTTGGAGATTTGGCGTCATGACATGTTGAGATAAATGGTTAGTATTGTGTTCAGTACGTTTCCTTAAGTGATTAAATTTTCGTTTTTGGTTACCTTTGAAGAATTCGGATTTGATTCTATGAGCTTTTCTTCTAGGGAAGACGGAGCTGCATGTTGGACGGTTGGCAGCGTCTTCGTTGCTCAAAGAGCAGTCGAAACTAACTGGAATGTAGGTAGAATAACGAAGGTTTGTATCGTCGTTTAGCCAAGATTTTTAATCTTTTGCTTTTCAGGTTCTGCTGATGGTATGCTGTCAAGATGTTGAGGTATTAGTCGCGCTCGGCGTGTTAGTCTTGTTGTTGTTTGCCGTCTATCTGTTGTTGGCCGGCTACAAGAATCGACCCTACCCCGACAAAGCATATGGCACCGACGATGGTTTAAAGCGTAAAGTCCGGGTATTGTACGTCGTCAAGGATCTCATCGACATTGTGTATTATTTTGGGCCATCGTTAATGACCGTTCTGCGCTATGGCTGCTGCGAAGTAATGATCTTATCCATTCAGCCAAGTAAGCTATGTTAAGTTATGAGTAGATTGCGAATCTTATGGTTGTGTGTTCATGGCCTCGTTTGTGCAAAAGTTAGACCTATCCGTTCAGATTCACCAATGTTAGTCTGGAAATTTGATAAGGATAGCCTTTCCCAACTGCTCATCCAGATCTGAAGCAGTGAGAAGGAAGCAGTGAAATAAGTTTCATAAGATAACGACGTTTGGTGAAGTACCGTTTGTATTCGCTCCCGTAGCCATTACGTCTCCCATGAAACCGTTTATCGAACTCCACTTAACAAATGAAAGCTGCAGCTGCAGCTTTCTTCATGCAAATCTGTCATAAAATTTTAGACTGGCGAATATGAAACTACTGTTAATCTGGATGCCTAATGGGGCAATGATGAAATTAATTTAGCACCCCGGCTACCCTCTCCAAAAAAATAGTATTGTGAATGAATAATTATATGTATGCGTATATACAATCTACTCCGTAGAATTTGTTTTAGGGCCATTTTTGTTACAATTCAAAATCCACTTAATCCAGCAGACGATGTCCACTAAGAACCTAATCTTTTGAATGCCTTCTGGACATTCGCCAATCCACCGTGGGAGCAAATTTACTTCATTGACCGGTTCTCATTAACCGACATATTTAATGAGAAATTATGTTTAATTAGATTCTGTCCTTTGTTTCCAGAATATTTGCATGTTTTGACGAGAGAAGGGCAACAGAAGAAGTTGATCACTAATCATTTAAGAAATTTTAATTGTGTAAATTAATCATTATTACGATTGGTATTTAAACTCAACGTACTGCATATGGTGAACTATTTATTAGTTGGTAGTGTGCCGTGACTGTTAGTCATGCTGTAATATAAATGAATTAACTTTAAATCCTCTAATGTGATTGTCTACTTACGCGATGAACAGTAGAATCGCTACGAAATCAATGGGCCACTTATCCTAGGTTTATGGTTCACACGGTATTGTATATGAATTTATATAAATTTATGTATTGAAGCAATTTACCTTACTTAGTTTTCTTAAGAAGCCGTGATGATTATGATGCTATTGATTATGATAATGATGATGATGGTGGTCAATGTAATCCTACGTTTGGAACAATGATGACATCAGTGGATATATCTGGACAACATTATTTCGTTAGATTTTCAAACTCTTGTCCATCTAAGCAACGCGATTAATGTCATACGTCTCATCTACCATTTCCTGACATCACCCGTCAAGCATTTTTCGGATTTTCTGTTCTTCTTGTCCATTTGTCTTCATCTTCCTATCTTCCTTTCAGAGGAGAGAAGACATGGCTAGAAGGTTTCACCATGCTTTCATTGGGAATTTTTGCAGACTGTGGCCGGGAATCTTTATTCCTAGTTTGTAATTACTGTTCTTCTCGTAGACTGATTTACATTAAAGGCATAAAGCTGCCGATTAAACCCTGATTACCATTTCGCAGTTGCTTTCAAGTCTTCACGACTAAGGAAA